ATGAGACGCCTGAGTGGCATGACAGAAGGCATCAGGACACACACGGGTTTCACAAGTATGTGTGTCGAACTAACGACAAATCAACTACAACTGAACCTTGTCAGTTGGCGGACGCAATATGTTATGAACGTCCATTTATTATATATGATTTATTAACCGGGACCTGCTTTAACTTCATACAGACACTTTAACTGGGAATCATAGCATACGCATCGACTGGGATCCACGGAATATTGTTCCTACAAGAGAAGTATGCTATCGTGGAATAGTGTGATTGGCGGCTCTGTACTCTGTACACCACATGTGCATGGCATCGCATATCTGCTACCTCAACTTGACAGCTAACCGTTGGTCATATTGTGTGGGCACAGCGCGCCAGTCGTAACAGTGGGTTGATGTAAATACACAATGTTTACATTTGAATATTACACTGATTTAATTATAATTTACTTAGTCTACTATTCGTATGCCAGAAGGAACGAAACTCAGGATCAGATGAATATACACATACATGTATAAACATTATCAGCAAAACCAGATATTCCCTTTACCTGTCACAAAAGTGGGAACAGCCAGTGTGTACTTATACATATAACGCACGTGTCTGTGCCTGAAACGCTCACTATGTAGTTCATTGAACCTAACTTCACAAATAATCCGGTATATAAATTGGATATATGATATTAGAAAATGATGGTGGTCTGATATTCGACAAACGGTGCGTCAAAACGCAGCCATTGTCGATTTGCAATGTCTTAAACGGCATTGTTTTCACACTTAAAGTAAAGCAAAATGCATGTGTAAGTTATGGCATTCGTAACCCGTGGCTATAAAAGTTCAGCCTTGCCAATCGGAACATCGCCGTCGGACGTATCCAAAGAGGAGAATCGCAGTCTTCCGGCCGACCAAGAACCGGCCGACCAAGAGTTACCCCCCCCCCCCCCCCCCCCTGCACAGGATCGCTACATTCGACTGTTCCATCTACGTCATCACAATGCAACAGCTACGGGGACTGCAGGACGCATCCCTGGTTTGAGGAGAATATCGGACCAGACTGTCAGGAACCATCTTCGCGAGGTTGGAATCCGACCCAGAAGACCAGTTATCGTCCCTGTTTTGCTGCATTATCCATCGATAGCGACGCTTGCGTTGGTGCCACATCTTACAGCCTTGCAATTTGAGAAACTGGAGACGAGTATGGTTTAGCGACGACTCATGATTTCACCTTCACCGGCGTGATGGAAGACAAAGTATTTATCGTCGTTGAAATGATCGTTTTGCCCCACTTTGTGAACGTGAAATCGACAATTTCGGTGGCGGTAGTGTCATGGTGTGGCGGCCATATCGTACACCGCGAGATCAGACTTGGTTGTGGTTCAAGGACATTTGACAGCAAATCGCTACATGAATCAGATTCTTCAACCTAACCTTCTTCCAATCCTTGACTGCCAGAGGGAGCTGTTTCAACAGAACAACGCTCCTTCGAACACAGCTTGTGTCACGGTAGACTACCTTCATAATGCCAACATCAACGACTTGCCCTGGTCGTCGAGATCTCCAGATCTCAACCCAATCGAACACATCTGGGATGAACTCGATCGACGCGACGTCAACGTCGGAACACGCCGCAGACACTCCCACAACTCGCCAACGCGTTACACGCAGAAAGGCGCAGAAATCCGCAGGACAGAATTCGTACACTTATCCAGTCAGTGTCGAGGAGATGCAGAGCCGTGAGAGCTGCCCGGGGCGGTCACACGAGATACTGAGTTCAGCGCAACCTTGAGGCCTTATGTGACGTGGCAATGAACAGTTTTCAATGCCTTTGTTCAACGACAACATGTGACTATCGAGCTCCAAAATTCAAATTTGATTCTATGATATTGAATTATATATATATCGACTTCATTAGGTACAATAAATTTACTAAAAATCTACCTGTGCGTTTCTTTTTTTGAAGAGTGTAAATGTATACGCAGATTATATTACCTCGATGTTAGCACAATTATTTGTACCCAATTCAAGTCGTTTGAGCAAATCAGTGTATCGCGATAAAGATGCAACAATGATAAGTAAAAAAAGAACTGTATGAAGGTAAAGAGTGCTGTCTCAGTCGCAGTAAATTAGGCTCATTTCTCAATGTAGATAATCAAGTTATATCAGAGGAAACGTTCCAAAGTTTCAATATGTTCAGTTAACGTACACCATTATGCTGATGTGTGAACTATATTGAACGCAATGGTATGAGCACATGCGCATGTCACGCTATAGTTAAACGGCCTGTCACAACGTTACAAAAAAAAATTTATAACAAATAATGATAATTATATAAGATTGACAAAACCATGTCCATATTTATATGAAAACAATGCCCGGTGTACGATTTTGACTGTACCATTAGCATATGTTTATGAATTACTACCAATTAGTGATGATACCAGGTGTTCGAAAAAGTACTTAATCTACCAAACGAAGCTTTATAGGGGAGTGTTACAATTAACACTTGCACTGCTGTTTCAGCTTCATCAAGATAAATACATTATATTCGTTCAAATGTCCTGCTCGCAGACACAGAGCTCATGCTGGGGACAATTACTACATACGAACAGTGAAAATACATAAAGAGAAATATAACCTCATTATTTATCTGACTCCACTTACACAATCAATATATTAAATCATATACGTCAAGATATTCGTGTATGGTAAGTGCAACTTTCCATCAACACTTAATTGCTATAATTATTACCCATAATATGAAGAATGACAGTTCTGATATCTCATGGGGGAATCTGTTTGAAACCACTTCAGATACGATAACGAGATGGCTCCTCAATGACATCTCCTTATCCGTCACAGCTGCACCAGCCGATCACGGCATCAGAGTGAGCACAGCCAGGCAAGTCCGCATTGTGAGGCATACAGTACATCCTCGACTGAACCAACCGATATGACTATCTTGTCCCCCTTTGTGTTTCCCGAACGCAGGACAATTCCGCATGTGTTGGTGTGAAGATTAATCGTATATATCATCCCATGTAACTGAGCTGCGATCAGAAGCGTTACATGTGCTATGAATTAAGTGGAACGGTTCATGTACCTACATGTAGTACAGTGCTATTATATCTCTGCTTGTGTCTAGTGGATACTCCAAGAAGAGTGAAGTAACGAGGGGAAGGGGATTGGGGTAGGGGGGGGGGGGGGGGGGGGTTGGTGGTGGTGCATTACACCTGGCGCATGCAGTTGAGGTACATGTTTTTATTCCTGTTATATCACATTACTCATGAGGGCTTCTCGCAAACATGATCGAGTATCATTCCAGTAGCATGCCAAGTCTAGCTGACACGTATTAACAAAAGGGACTATGTCTAAATAAAACAGTTAAAAAATTAAAATCCCTTTCAAAGATTTGCCATAGTTGTTTATCATATTGATTCAATCTTAACCACTCCATGCCTTATACTTGTATCGTATACTTGTCTGTTTGTATTTTTGCATACGTGTGACTATAAACAACCGTGAAATATATGGTCCATGTCCACAATCTGGGACACTAGCTTATCGACTACGTTTAAGCTTTCATTTGTCACAGATCATTAACCTTGGTCTTTCACAATGCAGAATAACAGGTGAGGGGAAATGAATGGGGTTAAACGTCGCCTTCAAGACATGCACGTGTGTGTCTGATTGCTTGTACAAGTCTATAGTGCTTGCCCACTGAAATACCATGCCGCAGTTTAACATGATCATCTCACTCAGACACAGTACACTGACCCCGATCCGACCAGTCTTTTAGCCCCTTAATGCCGAGCGCCATGCAGGGTGACAACAAGTACCATCATTTAACGTCTTTCGGTATGATAAGGCCGGGGATCGGACCCGGACCTTCCGCTCTCCGGGCAGTGCTCTACCACCAGCTCAAGGAGGCGGTCTGCAGAACAGCAATCAACAATGATGTACATTAACGTTATTTACATGGTATGTACGCTCATGTCACATCATTATGAATAACCGTTATAAACCATTACTGAAATATTGGTACACTGACACTTGGCCATTCAAAGCCAACTTCTATTGTTCCTAATTAAAAAGAAACCTCACAAAGGTGATGCAAAAGCTCCGTCCCTATATCATGACACTAGGAGCCAACACATACGTGTGGTACTCGTACAACTGGCTAGTGTTAAATACTGATGCACTAGGAGCCAACACATACGTGTGGTACTCGTACAACTGGCTAGTGTTAAATACTGATGCACTAGGAGCCAACACATACGTGAGGTACTCGTACAACAGGCTAGTGTTAAATACTGATGCACTAGGAGCCAACACATACGTGTGGTACTCGTACAACTGGCTAGTGTTAAATACTGATGCACTAGGAGCCAACACATACGTGTGGTACTCGTACAACAGGTTAGTGTTAAATACTGATGCACTAGGAGCCAACACATACGTGTGGTACTCGTACAACTGGCTAGTGTTAAATACTGATGCACTAGGAGCCAACACATACGTGTGGTACTCGTACAACTGGCTAGTGTTAAATACTGATGGACTGTGTGGTCGCTGTCTATCAATAATATGTTCACTAAATGTTAATGTCCATTAAATGTACAATTGCATGGATTGCTGATTTTAAACCAAACTGTGACATTCATACAGTACAAAAGCGATATACGATATGCGTGCATTCCATCGTTATATAATTAGTAATATGAATTTGTGCTATAACTACATGTAAATGTCCAACACAAGTCATAGTTATTGATATCGATCCCGATGACGTATTGTGCAGCTTACTGCGGTGTCTAGTCAAGAGGTACGACACATGTGACACACATTCACACAAACATATATTCGATAACAGACTACCTCGTTTACTTTCAGTTCGCAATTGTCCATAAGTAATATATATTCTCATTGATTTTACGAAACGCATTTGACATTGTACATCGATCCTCATTATGTTATACTCTGAAGTTTATGTTGTTCACGGGTTGACAGAGAAACAATTTCGCATTTAATAGAATTTCTGTTCCAACTAGCGGCATCCAGCCTTTCTGTGAAGGAGAAAGTAAAGACATGGGTCCGTACACTGTTCACGTCAGTCATATGAATGCGTGAAACTGGCACAGGCGACCGATGGCGTTATGGCTGCAACGCTTTAGTTCTCTGTCGATCAATGCTAAAGTGAGCGAAACGCTGAGTCGGTGCGCTAGAGATACCGCGAGCCAATTATAGCAGAGGCCACACCAGTCAGTCCTAGCAGCACATTCAAGACGGTTTCCTGATTGTTTCAACGTATACACAGCCTTGAGTGGAGATCACTGTGTTCGGAAATTTCATTCTATGAGAGGATTTCCACTGAAGATTGGTGAGTAGGAAAGATCTGTCACAAACTCCTTCACCCGCGTGTACAGCATTTTCAGTCTCTTGGAGGAAGTGTGTGTTTACATGTTCTATCGATAAGCTCTGATGTCAAACCGTTCCGAACATAAGATTGTTGTTGCTATCGGTGCTTACTAGTCTCCTGAAGCATCGTGTTTATGTGTATCATAAGCGTTTCAAGGATTGTATGTTGACTAAGGTTAGAGTCACATGTGATAACCATATAGAGTAATATGCATATTACTGTTAACTGATATTCAACAGATCATTCCGTTTGATTGACGAAGGTTTAAGATGGACTTGAGTGTAAAATATTGTCATTGATGAATTACTCATTCCGGTGTGATGGAAAACCCTTTGTCGTCATCTCAACATTATTGATCACGGAACACAAACGAATTTGGAACACACAACACAATTCCCAGACATTATATGACTTTAACTCAATAGATCTCACCCTAATCACTTCTCATATTTAAGTGAACTAATTCGGGACACATTTAAGCAATTATTAATCACATCTGAACGACATTATCACGATATATTGGAAGAGTATTCTATTGCCGTGCCAGACATTTACAATGCGTATCTGAAACCACCTCTATGCACGATTACCGAATAGGATCAGCTGGTAAATGTCTGTAGCAGCATGGTGTCTTGTAGCAAACGTTTCATGCCTCATGTTATGGTGACATATACGAAGTACAGAGCCTCGTGTGTAGCCATCGGCTCGCTGAATGACCTTCTGTGGTATGTGTAATTATACTCTTATTGAAGTTATCCTTATGTGCGCACATGTAGAAATGACCCAAGTCGAAATCAGCATTGTAGACATGTATACATTCTGAGCAACATACACATAACATTGTAGTGCTGCCGCTGCTAGCAGAACATCGCGTTTCATCATAGTTTACCCTTACTTTCCTTCAATCCTTGTCTTATTTAAGGAGGTAGTTGATACCTCAGTTTGCTGCGAAAACATGCATCCTAATGTGCGTGCAAGGCTTCCCCTGTTAAAAGTTGGAATCCCAGAATGGCCATTATTATGCTCAATCTGTCAACACTGGGTCGGTTTGGCTTTCGTCCCACATGAAGCTGACATGTTGTGAGTGAGTGAGTGAGTTGGGTTGAACTCCGCTATTAACAGTATTCCAGTTACATCGCGGCTGTCAGCTTGATGTCGGAGGAAAGCCAAACCGACCCAGCTATATATGGTGTTGACAGATTGATCATAACAATGGCCTTTCTGGGAAAGCCCGAAGTGATGCAGGTCTCAGACGTTTACCACTTCGGTGAAACCCAAGAGCACGGGTATGGTGCTGACAAACCTAGAAACATAATCGGGGCGAACTGGGAACCTACAATCAGAGGTTTCTGGCGTACCAAAGGGACGCAACTCTCCACAGCAAATCGCGGCGCCTTAGACGACTGGGCCACCCGTGCCCCCCTGACATGTTGTGATATACAAATGCAACTAATATAAAACGGCTAAAAATCTGGTATGTGAGTTTTCCTTGTTCAATTCAATACTTATTTGAAATAGTGTCGTTAATATATTTATGTTTCAATGTTAACAGAGAAACTATTATTCATGTTGGTTCATTGGACACTAGCGAAAGTTTGGGAGTCTTTCTTTTGAGCGGTTCCCGGTCGGAATCCGCCTCAGCTCCCCATAACCGTAATGAGCTGGCTAATGATGTCATCCTGTGTCGTCTTAATCTCCGTCATCATGCACAGACACGGATCATTGCTCATGCTCTCAACCACTAGTTGGCTTTTCGTTGGCAGAATCGGGTTTTTTTACAGGTCGCTGTCATGTAGCTTGATACAACGTTCACTCATTCACACTTGTGAATGCGTTATTAGGGGAGTGTTCACTTCTATGTATTGGAAAACAGGGTCTCGCTCCGATGGGTTAATGCAAGTTGCATTTATTGTAATGAAGGTCAACATGACAATACAGAACAAGTACAACCCAATGATGTACACGCTGACACAAGCCAACATAACCTTGTGCTATTTGTGGCATGGACACGTCAAGTATGATCTGCCATTGGTTACCAGTTACATTTTCATGAAAGTGACATCTTCTGTACTTTCTGCTATGGTGATTGCCGCAAACAAAAGCACAATTGCAGGGATCGGATTGTTTGGTAAATGATGTTGCGTCTAACTATTGAATGATTTGGTTGTGGTGCTCTATGCATAACATGTTTCCAATCACAATGCAAAGTTCATTGTGAATATTACAACAGACATAGAATTGAAGCCTGCAACAGATGTTACGCGATTAGAAAGAAACTATATAGTAAACATGTGTGTGTGTTTGGACATGTTCTCTGGGTTGTGCATATTATTATCAGTGTTCCCTAAACAACTTGTAATTCTATAAGGAACTGTCCGGCACAACGAAGATTGAATGGTGCCAGATATACCTTAACATGCCAAACCTCTGTACATTACAACACATGAACTGCTAATTTGAGAGAAGTGATTACATATTTTATATTTGTCTCGGAAAACAGTGGAATATGCCATTCCGCAGATCAGCAGGACAGGAATATCCTTCTCAGGTAACAGCATTGCTTCTTTCTTCTGGAACGGCTACAGTTAAAACATAATATTTTTTATGAATTATATTGATTATAGTATTGTTAAACAACCAATTTCTACGCTCCGTGTCGTCCACTTGTCTTCATCGTCTCTCACCACACTGGTCAGCTTCAGCTGTTACAACCCTGACCAGCGACTGGACAATGTACTTATTCTTACGTACATGCGCATACAATTTCAGTCTCCTCAATCAGTCTGTTATTTCCTTCAATACACGTAGATACAAATATATCACTAAATAACAGCCTGATGTCACTTGTGTTAATCACATATTGCTTCCAATGTTAAAGCTATGGGCGCTGTAGCGATATTTGTTTTTCTCCGTCATTAAGCTGACACGCTGTGACGTGGTTAAGATAATACAATGTAGTTCAAAGTCATCCACACCTTACATTAGACAGAGGGTTACCTTACTCTTGAATCCACAACAGCTGACACTTACTGAATTTACATTAAAACTGGCAATGAATTCATCTGCACTAACGAGACCCGGTTTGAGCGTGAGAGGTGTAGTTCATATTGCATACAGAGTGCGTGGATGTTTCTTCCAGACACGCAGTTCATTCAACAGATGATGTTTGCAACAGGTGCATTGAATAGATCTAGGTTAACATAACGGGACAACTTAACATGAAAAGCTTTTTATACGGAGTGCCAGAGTGCAGTGTTCAATCCTTTATTCTTACTTGCCGTTGTTATATATGTTGTTATATATGTATTAAATCGAGAGAGACCTAATAATACATTTTTCCTACATTAGTTCCGACCTCTTCTAAAGGAAGAGTGACCAAGAGTCTAATAAAAGGCTAATTATAATTCCCTTTATCATGGGTTTGAATCCCGGTTCGCCAACATGTTTCTACGTTTGTCAGCACCACACCCATGCTCGCGGGTTTCACAAATGAGTAAAATCTAAGACTTGCATCACGTTCGGGCTTTCCTCCCACACCAAGATGACACGCTGTGACTGAAATGTAACTGAAATACCCTCAAAGCTGCGTTAAACCCAACTCACTCACGACTTGAGGATAGACAATGTACCAGTCGAGGACGGACTATGTTTAGCACGTTCTGTATCGTTTTCAAAACAACACCCTCTCTGTATAACCCAGTTTCATTAACAGCATGTGCAAATCAGCCCAGACAGCATCTTGCTCCCTGCTACTTCGTTTTTATCAAAATACCTGCACTTCACGCTTCTCGAGAGTAATACAGCCTGCCGACAGAAGATCGTCTAGTAAAGCATCATACATATGCATAAAATGTTTCGGAAAATGTGTGTCAGTCTTTACGATATATTCCATACACAAGGGACGCCAGTCTCGATTATGTTAATGTCTTCTCCGGAAACTATGGCTGCATGTTCGAGCCTCCAATGGTCGGTCGGGACTATTTTAATGCACTTATTCATGTTCCGTTCATAATATCTCAGTGCATATAGCGAACCATCTGTTGCTGACAGGGGCGTGTTTCAAAATAAACATTGAAACTTGTGGGTGATCATTACCCTGTTTTGTATACATTATCTCTCGATACACTCATTTAAAGGCGAGTGGTCGTATATTCGTCGGATCTTATTCGACATGGTATGTGTAATTACAAGGACTTACTCGTAACTCTTCAGTGAGCAGTAACGTGTAATTCACTGTCGGTGAATCGGTGTTGTCCTTTGATAAGTGTTGAAGTATGAACAATTACAGTTGGCATGCTTCGCACATAGTTATTTCACTAAATACCATATCTATCCTTTCGCTTTTGAGATTATCGTAAATATAGTTGCGAATGTTTTATATAATGTATCCATCTGTCTGTCATTCTATATTTCCATTGTACGTTACATGAAGCTTACTTACTTACTTATATTGGAGATTTAACGTGCGCTTTCCGACTGCAAGCGTATGTCGCACACGGGCCCGGCCAGGCCATTCAATGTGTTTCCGAAAAGGGGAAAAGTGAGTTTGTCCAACCCATGGCCAGGAGGGGGGCTTTAGGGGTTGCTTATATAGAAATTTTGAGATTTGGAATGAATGCCAAGAGTGGGTGGAGGACGAACTAAGGGAGCTGTGTGTGTTGGGTGGTTGTTAGATTAGGTAGTTTGGGTTTTAATATTTTATTTGGGGTTTAAATGCGACTAATTAGTCCTGTTTTAATTAGGTATATGCCTAAGGCTTTGAATTTTTCTAATTTATTTTGTGGATTTAGGATTGATTCTAGTGTAAGTGCGGTTTTAAGATTTAGGGTGGTCTGTAGTGTTGTTCGGTGTGTTTGGTAGAGTGTGCAGTGAATGAGTACGTGTTCTGGTGTTTCTTGTTGTTTGCAATGTGGGCAGTTTCCTGTTGTGTGTAGATTAGCTATTTTACGGTGATTATTTAG